CTCCCGCATCCATTGACACTCGCTCCCGGCCGGCGTGCAAATGGCAGTGACATGGCAGCAATCCGTCGGTATCGCTAGTCTAGTTGTTGGCTACGCAGCACGCCTTAGGAGAAAATAATGGGATGCGGCATGGCAACGCAGAGCCCCTATTCTCTTGCGCCTGTCTACCTGTCTGACGTTGGACCTTGGACTGGTAAGGGAGGTAGATATGCGGCGCGAGGAAAGGCAGCAGCACAACTCAAGATTAAGTGGGCTGTCTTCTGATGGTCCAGCCCGCCTGGCCAAGCCCTCAGCGCGCGAAAGGACCCCTGAGGGGCGCTTCCCCTATCCTTGTCCTCCAAGATGCTGCCTGCATGCAGCCTGCGGGCAGTGTAAGAAAAATGTAAGCCCAGGGCAACAGCGATAGAGGGGCACGACAGGGAGCTCAAGGCGGAGAGACCCCCAAATGGATGGGCTTTACATGATGATTTGGCCCTCGGGGGCCGGCTGCCGCTGATGTTGCTGCTGCTGCTGCCGCTGCCGCCCGCATTGGATCTGTTCGAGTTGGAGGAAATTAAAATAGCTTAGCCCATTTTCGCAGAATGAGGGCCGAACTTTTTTTTTTCGACCCCCGCGCAGCAAGTTGCTCTCCCCTGTCGGCTTTCACAGCGATCGTGTCCCCAAATCAACCGTGGTCACTTCTGTCACTGTGCTTCTTGCCGGCCGGGATACGTACCTTATTAGTCTGTACGGCATGCTGTCCATCCATCCAGAGTAGCCAGAGTAGGGAAATGTAGTCGGAGTAACACGAGAGGGACACCTTACACCTAGCCCCATTACCGGACCTTTTTCTTTTACGTGCTTCTTCCTAAGCTCCCCATCGCGACCTCAAGCTTCACATTTTACCTGTTTCTTTTTCTTCCGTGAGCTAGGTTGGAACCTTGTCGAGATCTGCATCTATCTCATCCCTCGCTGGAAACGCCGTGCGACGACATCTTGTTTCTCGGCTGTGGTTTCTGAAAGTCTCACCTCACCGCCGCCACGGTCCCACCAGAATTCAGAGACATTTCCCATCGTTGCGCGACAGAGGGAAAGTCCAGAACGCATTCTGCCCGCCCACGCGCTCAAGTGGCTTTTTGACCATTCCACCACTCCTTTTCGCATCCGGCGAGAGGACACACTGCTGCAACGTAGCCGTTGATCCCTTCGTCAAACCAACACAATGGCCCCTCAGACAGCAGCGGCGGCAGCCGCGCCCAACGGCGACAACCTCGACTATGAGCCCATCAACGTAATTATCCCAATCGGCGGCATTGGCTCTCGCTTCGCCAAGCAGGGCTACCGCTACCCGAAGCCTCTCATCAACATCGTCGGCCGTCCCATGCTGCTATGGCTGATCGACAACCTCAGCCTCAAGCCCGGCGACACCTTGTGGATGGCGGTCAACGAGGAGATTGACGACGAGTTCAGAATCGGCCAGCTCGTCAGCAAGACCTTCTCCAAGATCGACTTCAGGCTGCTGCGCCTGCGGCACCAGACCAAGGGTGCCAGCGAGACGGTAAGCTACTGTTTCCTCTCTTGCGCCCGCTCGCCAATGGAGGGGCAAAGTGCGCAGAGCCAAGTGCGAGGCCCACGTCGCTAATCTCTCGCCTTCCAGCTGTACATTGTCACCCAGAGCATGACCAAGAAGCACCTCGAGCGCAAGACTGTCTCCCTCGACTGCGACACCATCTACTGGGCCGACGTCCTCCAGGACATTCGCAACATGCCCAAGGGCCATGGCGGCTGCTTCTACTTCCCCGACGTCGGCGACAAGCCCATTTTCTCATACATCAAGACCGAGGCCACAAAGTGAGTCGCATGTGAATGTGGAAAGTAGCGGTGCTAACAGCAACAGGGACGGTTTGGAGCGCATTGTAGACATTCAAGAAAAGAAGGCCATCTCCAACAAGGCCAACACGGGCGCATACGTTTTCCCTACGGCAGGTCAGCTCAAGTCATGGGCCTCGGAGAACCTCGACATGAAGAGGCCCGACGGCTCAGAGGTGGGCGAGTACTACACCTCGCAGATGATTGCCCTCATGATCCAGAACGGTGTTCCCTACCTGGGCATGCCCGTCAAGACGAAGGATTTCAGCGTCGTTGGCACTCCCGAGCAGCTTCAGGACCTCCTGAAGCTTCTCAAGTCCGACACCTCGAACCTGCCGATCAAGCTGAAGAAGCGCCGCTTCTGCTTCGACCTCGACATGACTCTTGTCGGTGTGCCCGCCATTCCTGGCGACTACTCGACGTGCCCGCCCATCGAGAAGAACATTCGTCTCGTGCAGCAGCTGTACAACGCGGGCCACTACATTATCATTGTAAGTCGATCTTGGCGCTTGGCAGGGATGAGCGACCGCTAACCGGACGGCAGCAAACCGCTCGTCGCATGCGAACACACAAGGGCAACATTGGTTCCGTGCTCGCAGACGTCGGCCCCGTCACCTTTGCCCAATTGGCCAAGTACGAGATCCCGTACCACGACATCCACTTCGGCAAGCCCTACGCCGATGTCTACGTCGACGACTTGGCGGTCAATGCCAACCTGGATACTATGCGGGAAATCGGCTGGCTGCTGGACGAGCAGGACCCTGCCGCACTAATCGGCGAGGAGGCCAGTGCAGGCGAGGAGGCGAAGAAGGCCGGCATGATTGCGGCGCGCGACTTCAACACGATCCAGATTATCGGCGACAAGGTCATTAAGTCGAGCAAATCGGAGAACATTCTCGGCGAGCTGTTCTTCTACTCCCACATGCCCTCCGAGATCTCCCACATTTTCCCCACCGTCTACAATGTCGACTACATTGCCGACACCTCCATCTACAACATCACAATGGAGAACCGCCGCGGTCTGACCTTTTCTCACCTGCTGGTCGGCCGCTCCATCACCAAGGGCCGCCTCATCTCCCTCCTAAAGTCCCTCCACACTATCCACACCACCGCCAGCACCGAAAAGGCCACTCTCAAGATTCCCTCAGCGCTGGAGAAGAAGTTTGAGGAGCACTCCCTGGCGCGCGCGAACCACCGTGTTAACATTTACGCAAACTACGGCTCCAAGCTGCGCAGCCGCTACTACAAGGACCAGGACAAGTACGACGCCCTTGGGCCCTTGGCCGGCTCCCTCTTTGCTCGCATCAACGAGTTCCTCGACACATACGAGGCTGAGGAGAAGGGAGTGCACGCCCAGGTTATCCACGGCGACCCCGTTTTCAGCAACGCCATCCTTTCCAAGGACGAGAAGCTCGTCAGCTTCATCGACGTGCGCTGCCAGCTCGAGAACACCCTGACGCCCGAGGGCGACATTCACTACGACCTCGGCAAGGTCCTCCAGTCTCTCTGCGGCTACGACCACATCCTCTTCATGAGCGCAAACAACCATGACCTTCGTGGTGCCCTGGAGACTGATGCGCCCCTACTTGATGAGGCCGACCAGGACCTCCTCAACGAGCTGCAGGAGGTCTTCTTCACCTTTCTTGAGGAGACGTACTCTGTCCGCCTCCACCGCAAGACTCTCTTCCGCATCACTGCTTCGCTCTTCTTCAGCCTCATCCCCCTGCACCGCCCCGAGCTCGGCGCCGTCTTCCTGCGCATGTGCAAGGAGACGCTCGACAAGGCGAGCAACATCAACTACGGCCCCAATGCGCGCTCCATTGCGGGTTTGACGCTTAGCCGCCGCGCGAGTTCCAACTTTGCGGATGAGAGCGGACGCGAGATGCCCGTCGCCAACACCAACACCAAGGGCGAGAGCCTCGATATCCCCAACGTGGTCGTCAGCTCAAAATAGGTGACTGTCGCTGACGGGATGTAGCGCCAGGGGAGGAGGAGGAGGGACAGAACGAGCGGAGCCAGGGACGGAAAGAGAGGTTGTGCTGGCCACGGGTTATAATACACCGAGATGTGGGTTGCTTGTGTGGGTTGCATTGATGACATGGGCGGAGAGCTCTTGTGGGGTCGATTCATCGGGGTCTTTTTGCGGGGAACTAAAATCACAAGTGGTGTCTTGTCTGCCGCGATTGCTATTTTTTGTATTGGAAAAAAGGAGCGATACTGTTTCTTCTCTTCATGTCTATTGTTCCCGAGTTGATGAGGATCATGTACTACTATACCAAGTTACACCAAGAGCCATGTGTTACGGATCCAAGCATTCGAGTTAGAGAGCTCGAGTCGAGTGAACAGTGATTGTCGTTGCGGGCCACGTACCTGGTCGGTCGCCTGAGCAGGCGTTTTTGGCACGAGGTTTCTTCACATCCAACGGTTGGTGGCGCATATGTGGCGTAGCCGCATTTCTCACAGCATGAAGCTAGAGCCAATGTCAACTTTACCAAGGACGACCCGACTTTGAGCTGGTTGTCGAAAGCCTTGTTTCGAAAAGACTGCCATCAGCCTGATCTATACATTTGTAGTTCCACAAGTCGTATGGTTTCGGTCTGCATCGCGGACGTCGGGGTAGTAGTGTCTGCCGGCGGCGACTTGCGCATGTCTCCTAATGAACCCAACTCGTGCAAGGGAAGTGGCATTCGCCGGGATGTCTCCAATGGCAACGGCTTCGAGATCCTCAACCTTCTGTCTATCTTGCTCTTCTTGATGAGTTAATTCCTTGTGGGACCACAAGCCCAGCTAGCTTGAGCCCAGCGGCAACTCCGACGGCTAATTTTTCGCCCGGGTGCGACTCGGCCATCTTACAGTGACCGTCGATGATGAGCGTGTTGCTGTTATTGCGGGTAGAGGGGTATCTGACGTTGGGCATTGTGCCGGTGTAAATTTGGGCGTCATGTTCACAATCACAAAAAGTGGCGGCGTAGTCATGTCAATGACCGCTGTGCAATGTTGCAAAAACAGTGACAATACAATACGACTGGTAAGTCGGTAAACAAGCAGCTAGGCGAGAGTATGGGGCCGCAAGGAAAATCGCTGGACACGACTGTATTGAGGCAAGTGTGGAGAGTTACGCACATGTAGTACTACCCGAGACGAGCTCTCTGTTAAGACAAGTAGTCGTCATATCGCCTTTCATTTCCTGCAAGCTTTCTCATATACTCAATCTTCTTCACGCCCTCCATCTTCGAGATAGCCACAATGGTGTCGTCATCGAAGAAGCCTTTGTAGTAGTCTTTGTCGAAAAGCATCAGTCCTACTTGGTCTGTCACGACTCCCGAAGCATGACCACTCCGAATGACGTTTGAAAGCCCCATCAAGTGCTTGAACTTGTCCCAAAGCTCCTCCTGCCGCAGATAGATTTTGAAATAGTGGTTGTAGACCTCCCAATCGCCCTGAGCCCTCTCAATGACGCCTGATCCCCTTTTGTATATATCGTCGAGGTTCATCCTAGCGGGCAGCCCGCCGGTTTCTCTGCACTCGTCATCGGTGCATGTCTTGGACGACGCCGGCCATCTCCACATGCCCTCGCCATCGCCGTTGGAACGGAGACGTGGGTGGAACGGAGACGTGGGTGGGGTACGATGGAAATGGAGTTGTCCTCAGTCGTAACGGCCGTCGCCGCTGCTTCTGATGGCACGGTGATGTTGACGGGTGCTGTGTTGGAGGAAAGCTTGGAGGAAAGTTCGCCGACCTCTGATCTCAGTTTCCAGATCCAAGTTGACAGCATGATGGTGAGGATGAGATGCGAAAGACTGACAAGGCCGCGCATCGTGATGAAGTTTGATCTGATCAGTCTCGTCATTCTAGGATCGCGGCGGAAATCTGTGAGTTGGACGTTTACCGTCTGAATCTCGTCTGGTTCATGGAACTCTGGGAGTATATCCCTTAAGTAGCTTTTGTACACCTTGACAAGTGCGAACTGATAAGGTTGGTTTGGCTCATTGCGGTGACCCACAGGAGGTGGAAATATATATACATGTTCCGCCGGAGGGGTTGCATCCCCACTCAAAAAGCGGTCTTCTTTCGTCTGACTTTAAGATGCTCAACCTTTATGAATCCATCCAGCTTCGAGATTCCAACAATTGCATCCTCGCTAAAATACCCCGAATAAGTCATCTGACAAGCCTTCCTCCAACACATGTGATGAGGCCACGACATCACCACCCCCGCAACTCCGGTTTCTCTGAGAAGACGACAGATCTGGCCGAGATGCGTAGCCAGGGTGTGCATTCCGTGTGCAACAAATCTTATAGCCATGGTTTTCGATTCTGTCGCCGTCGTTGGCCCGAGTGATGTTATTTCCCAACCTTTTATAAACATCCTGGAGGTTCATGGCGTCTTGCGGTATCTCGTTCGTCCTGTATCGTGTAGGATGCTCTCGAGAGAACTTTGGATCATGGCAGAGGCTTTTGCTTAGATCTTGGACGAACGGATACTCCAGTCCTACCGTCGCAAGCGGGATCGTAGCAGGGCGTCGGTCTGTCGGTTTGGTCGCGGGACGCATATGTGAAGTGATGTCGGCCTTGCTGATTGCCGTTCGGATGGAGGGCGGCCAGTCCAGCTTTGTGCTGAGGCCCAAGGCGCAGAGGATGATGCTGACGTGGGCGATGAATTGGACGACTTGCGCGAGGCGGCCCGAGGAGCCTCCGGCATTGTGGTGTCGTTGTATCGAGTGCCTACTCATATTGAGCGCGAAATTCTGCGAATATTCAGTAGCAAGACAGGTCGTTCAAGGTGTGACGGGGATGTTCCGCGTCCCGTTAAATACCAAAGACGAGAACACAAGGTAGCGGCATAAGGCGGGTGGAAACATAACGCCAGTCACTTTTGCAAGGTCGTTCAGTAAGATAGACTTCGTTTCTACAGATTGGGGCTTTGCACACTGAATCTGCAAAATTTAAATACAAAAAAGTGATGAAGTTTAACGAACTTTAAATCTCGTCTTTCAAGACCTCAACCACGCTGCAGCATGCCCGACCTTCTCTCTGATAGCCTGACCTGGATCATTGCCCCCCTTCGCATCAGCCCCAATCTCCTTCACCCAGCTCTCCCTGTCGCCTGAAGCCAAAGTCGGAAGAATCTGGAGAACCCCAGCCAGCTTGGAGATCATCACCAGCGTGTCGTCGTCAAAAGCGCCGACGTAGTTCGAGTACTTGAGACTCCCGCCCTCTCCTGGCCAGTAGCTGATGAACCCACGGGCCCCAGGCACCTTGAGCAAGGCACACACCGTATCAAGATGGTTCTGCACCTCCGCCTCCGACAACTTGAGTGAGATGGTGTAGTGTTTGTCAAAAGTGGCTATCCCGTCACCGCGAGACTTGAATTTGTCCCCGATGCGCTGAAGAAGCTCGGCGGGGTCTGACCGATTCGTCTGAGGCGAAGCGAAAGGAGAGATGGAGCCCACGCAGCGGTTTTGGCCGAAGCCGATGGCAATGTACCACTTCAAGGGGTTGTCGGCTTTCTCAAACGGTGCTGCTGTCTCGACCGGCACGGACGGGACAATGGGGCTTGCGTGTTCGAGGATGCAGTTCCCGGCGCATCTTGAAATGCTGAGCAGCTGGCTGCCGATCAAGCAGGATACCAGCGCGCATAGAACGATGAGGGTTCGGAAGTAGTTTCGGCCTGTGAATTTTGCCTCTTGAGTCATCTGAGGGCTCCAGCTGTGTGTCTCCTTTCCTGGTGTCGTCCCCTGATACGGTTGTGGTGCCTTGCGTGTCATCTTGGTGTTGTCGATGGGCAATAGGAGTTAGGGGGCAGGGTCTGCTCGTCGCCCCTTTAAAAGGAGATAGACATCTTCCTATCCCATCAGAAGAATCTTTTCTTAAAATTCTGATGCCGCTAGTCAGCGGCACCAGCGGAAGCCCAGCTGGAAACGTGGCTGGGAGAGCATTATCTCAGGTACGACTAGCCCAGGTCTTCCCGGACAAAGAAAAACACCTCCTTTGGCAACACAACGATGAGAGTTAGTGCTATTGGAATTCGACAGCACAAAGAAAAGTCAGTGAATTGCAACATATCTTTATTGGAAAGCTTTTAGGGTTGTTTTTCTTCAACTCCGGTGTTGGTGTCGGTAGACAGTGGCCGACGAAATCTAGATCCCTAGTGGCGGCCAGAAGAACCCAGGGCATCGGGGATATCTTTTTTAGTTTAGCAAAATTGAATATGACACTCTTACTGACCGACCCGAAGAACACTACCTATCGTCGCTTCCCATCCGCACGCACAAAAGCAATCTTGGCCACCCCAGGCAAACTTGAAATCGCCACCAGTGTATCTTCATCAAAAGCACCAACATAACTCATGGTCCTGAGCGTGTCTGCCTCGAAGTTCTTCACGACGCCTTGGGCGCTGTCTTTCTTCAGGATGCTACAGACTGCGGTGATGTGTGTAGCCATAATGTTGCGTTTCGTCATGACGTAGGTCCTCACCATGTTCGTGTAGGACGATTCCGTCTTTGCATAATCCTCTGCTGAAAGCCTTCCGCTGACCGTCATCGAAGATGGCGGAGAAGGGAAAACGCCGGGGTCGAGCAAAATGCGGAAGAGCCCTCTCATGATAACTCCTGGATCCTGAAACGTCTCCAATTTGTCGCCGAGTCGTTCTTCAAGTTTACGGTAATCGTATGGCTGATGTGCTACCGTGTATGGCGACAGTTGAGATCCGCACCAATCAGGTGGTTCTGGTCCACCGAACCACATCCAAAACGGCATACTTCCAATGTCGTCTGCCAGCGTCTACGTGGCATAGGAGATCGGGGGCTCAGTTGTCTCTGATGTTGGATTGAGGGGCGCGTAGGAGTCATTGTCGTTAATCGTGTTGATAACGATGTGGTGGGTGCAGTTGTAAGTGACGTGAGTTCCATCAGTAGTTTGCCCTGGGCGTGAGAGAGCTTGAAGCGCAAGGTAATTGAGGTGATACAGATACATTCCGACGCAAATGAACAGAACCGCGAACTCACCAATCTTTCGATCTATGAATCGGTATTGTACAGCTTGGCGAGTCATTGTAAGTATTGATATTCTTGATGTATGTGAAGGTATCAAGATCGGAGAAGATCGGAGGAGATTGATGGTGATGCGGTGGTGTTGGAGGGAAAATTCAACTGATAAGAAATGACTGAGAGAGCTACTTTATAAAAATTTTGGACTAAAAGTACCTTGAGATACCTGGTCTTTAAGATATGTACGCCTGGATGGTTGTGGTCAGCTTCGGTATACGTGTCTCCCGTACACCTTCCACCTTTGATAGCTTTTGCCATGAAAACACCAAACTCTAAAATATAAGAAGTCAGTGTTAGTACAGTTGAAACTTTTGCGTTCTTCATCGCCGACAGCTGGGGTTGCTTGAGACTTTCGCACCGTTTCTCCGACGGCATTCTCCTGATGAGCAAGGTTGCATACCGACACGGTTTCATCACAGGCTTCGTTGATCACGATAGTATAGACAGAACTCTCATTCTCATTATATGTACCAATCTAGTTTTCGAGGAGATATCTAGATCCCCATAATGCCCAGGCATTTCTCTAGAGTACCAAAAAATGAGCTCCAATGACCAACGCCCATCTCCCCCAAATCACCAAGTCTACTCCTTGCTACGGAAACGATCCCGCGGGACTTGGTGGTGAAAGACCGCAGAAACCTCCTCCATGTTTGCAATCTCCACGATTGCGTTGTCGTCAAGAATGGCTTCGTACGAGTAGCCTTCCCTTCCTCCAATCTTGCGCAGGATGAATCCGCCCCCAGACTTGCGAAGCATGCCGCAGACCTTCTGCTTGTGCTCCTTGGCCTTCTCCGCTCCAAATCTGAGGTCGATGTTGATATCGAAGTGTCTGTCGCCGACGTAACGTCCCTCCCTTATCGGCAGCATCTTTGTTCCGATCTTGTGCTGCAGCTCCGTAGGATTCATGGGCTTGCTCTTGGTGAAGTCGAAAGGGCGCAGGGAGTTTCCGCAGTAGTTGTGATCGAAGTAGCCGTCTACGACTCTCTTGGGCGGCGTCAAGATCTGCGCGGGGATCGGGGCGAAAATGGTATTTGAGAGCCAGTCGATGTCGGACTGCGTTCCATGGGACGTCAAAGGGTACTGTGTGTCATCTGGCTGAGCCGATGGGGTGGGCGTTGCAGTGGCAATGACAGTAACAGTGCTCGTTCTCGTTTTCGTGGGAAGGATTGCCGTGATGCCAGTCGTGATGGTTGTCGTGGAGGTTTGGGTTGCTGTGACGGTCTCCGTGGCTGCCCTGTTGGCAGTCGTCCTCTTCGACATGTTGCCAACTTCATTTGCAGGTGCAATCACCACAAACAAAAGCATGTAAAAGATCGAAACCACTGCGAAGATGATACAACCGCTAAGAAATTTGGCGAGCAAACGTTCCTGCCTTGCCAAGCAATGGTGGTGATCATGCGTCCTCCCATCATGGTCTCTGGAAATACCACATGTCTTTAATTCGGGACTTTTGTTACTGATTCCAGATATTTTGAATTCGCATGTCTTGGATCCAGTCATATTTAATGATTATTCGGGTGTAGTTGATTGACGTAGAGTAGATGAAATGTTTTATGGATGTTGCGATGGGAAGATCGTGAGTTAGACACAAGGGGGCGGGCGGGGCCTTTGTACTATGAAGCATCCTTTCTCCGATGATAATTGACACCTTTGTAAAGGCAAAGACGAGACTTTCCCATGAAGTCTCAAATTCTTTCCCTAAATATCTCGATACTCTCCAGGGGGTATGGGTCTACATGTCTGTCGATACCCCAGAGTAAACACAACTG